CCCCAAAACCCCAAAACCCCTTTAGCTTTAATAGATGGCTAATCAATTTTAGTAAAATTCAAAATAATCTAATAAATCCAAATCTTGTAAAAAAGATGAATCCAAAAGCTTAATCACTTATATATAATTCAATTGATGTTGGAATTTTGGTCAGTGTATTGGTTTGACATGCTGCTGTTTTATTATTCTGCTAAATTTGAGGTTAATATATTCATTCCCATTCTTTTCATATTTGTACCAAACTTGAAATGACCTGCATGTTTTGCATCTAACTACCAAGTAGCTAGAAGTGAAATGGTGCTAGATCTGCCCCTGTGGACCATTTGCATTGATCTCTTTCATTAGCTTTTCTTCAAACTCTCTCTCATTTTTAAAGAGATGATTCTTGAATTTATCTATTACCTTGATATGATGTCTAAATTAAAATGTAAGCTGGATGTTTAATTAATTCATAGCAATTAAAGATTGAGTTGAATTTGATAATTTGTACTTACTCATTTCTCCAGTTCTCAGTCTCTTGGTCTGGTTTAGCAAGTTTATGTTGGTCTTATGACAAGTCTCTTTTCTTGTTGAGGCTACCATCTCTGTTAGTTTCAATTTGTTTCTAGCAGATATTCTAATAATTGTCTCTAGCTGTTTATCTCTGCTAGGCTTAAGTCTTCTTCAAACTCTCATTGTATTCTTCTTAGCTTGAGCTTTCACTATTATCTGATGACCAAAAAGTATTTTTCTTCTTTTTCTTCTTGCATTCCTAGAAATTTGGCTGCTTGGTTTGAGTGTAATCTATTGAAGAATTTTGATATTTAGATTTCATCATAGATAAAGACTTTTGTGATTGCATTCTATACTTAATATCAGAGAATGAGTCTTTTTTCTTGCTGAGAGACTCTTGTCTTGATAATTCAAAGTCTAATTTGCTTGCTAATACGTGCTGATTGATTGATTCTTTCATTTCTTCTTCTTCTTGATATCTTGTTGGAAATTGATCCTTGTATGGAATATTAGTAGTCTTCTTATAGTAATTCTATTTCTTAATTACTAAAAGCTTATCCAATTGTCTGAAAAGCTCCAGAAGTAGCTTCTTGTCGTTAACCTCAGAAATGTTTATCATGGAGTACTCTTCATCATATTCCTCTAGTTTGAACTTGTTAGCAATCTTTGCAAGTGAACTCAGTTTCTTGATTTGAGCAGATGAATCTATTGCTGCTGATTGCATCATTGATGACTTCTCTTTTAGAATAAAGAGTAAGTAGTCTCCAGCAAGTTTGGGTCCATCACACATTTTGCAAAAGTCAGAGCCTTCTAGATACTAGGCTATATTGTAAGAGATAGATAGATGGTGAAAAAATGCAGTGGGCAGCCATTCAGAGTTAAATCCATAGATATTGACATAAACTTTGCATACCGCAATATCCTCAATCTTGAAGTTCTACATTGCTACTTGATCAGAAAATATTAAAATATTATTAAATTTTTTGAGAGTTTGATTTATATATCTAACTCAAAATTTGCTATATCTAAATACCTTATTCAGTTTTTGGGGTTTTGGGGTTTTGGGG